CCCTTTATGACTCACGCTAACAGGTACTATTTTTGTTGCGAAGATAATAAGTCATTGACAAGGATAACGCGGGCTATTATTTTTTTATGTTCTTTTGGATGATCCAAGATAGTGAGAACTTCTAAATTATGACAGTCTGTGTGCGTTTACAATTGAATATGTGGATGTCTATCCATTGGCATGAGATCTAGGGTAGGAGTTGCGAATTCGAACACGACTCGAAAATTGGCACAAAAATATAGGAGATTATGTAAATAACTAACAATGTTTAAGGAAAATATTTGAAATACATATCATGTCAATTATTGAGTTTATCTTATTGGACATTGATTTTGTAGATAATTTATCACATTAAATATTACACTAATGTAGTTTAAAAATGTGATGTCTTTAACATTACTCTAATGTTTGATTAATATTATGAGTTGTTAACCTAAGCATGAGTTATTTTTATGCAAATAATGCTAATGAGGCCAAATATTTTTATTGTTTTTCTAATGAATAGGAGTTATTTGTGCTAGAGAATGATTATTAGCACCATTATGCCGCTTTCATTCCTTATTTATTTTATTAGGGAGGAGTGCATGTGACTTTAGTGTTAATAGCAGCTCCCATTATGTCATCATCGTTTGGTGTGCTTGTAAACTTGATTGATTAATATGAACACTACATGGATATAAAAGGGTAAATCCGAACACAAACAATTGTCAACCCTCTAGCCATTCTCTTAATTAATTAGTATTTTGTAAATAGAATAGGGAATCGAGCCTTTGATCTAGTTTGATACGGACATATTTCCTCATTCACCTTCTCCACTTCAACATCCCACAGATTTAATTGAACCTTATGTGCAAACATTATTCTTCTGCATTCCATCTTTTCCTTTTCTCTGTTAATTCTTCTTTAAGAAGTGTAGGAGAAAAACGAGAAGGTACAAAAATCACTTACTTGTGCTGCAAGCATGTCATAGAAACAAAGGAATATGCATCATGTAGAGAAGTCCAATCCATGTCCAAGTACATAAAGCATATATATAAACACAAATGCAATGAAAGGTAGATTTGTGTCACACAAACACAAGGCTATTGGAGGTTGAGAGGTCGATTCATGTTTTGGAAATGGAATTTGAGTGATATTTTGGGAATGGAATATCAGAATTGATTCATGGCTATTAGGTAAAGCAACAATACTTGGTCGAAGTGGAGGAATTAGAATATTGGGTCTTGCACTCAAAACCCCCAAGTGTCCCACCACCACCACACATACCATACTAAATGCGACGTTGTTTTCAGCGTGAGCTCGTCGTCTATCTCCATTTTTTATTTTCATCAGTTTCCATTTTTTATTTTTATCAGTTCAACATCTTTATGATTGAATTACTACTTAAGTATTAATTAACGTGTTTATTTTATATTGGTGATACGTCATATGATTTACGAATTTAATTTAAAATTTTAGTCTACCTAACATTACGCGGGAGGATACCGATGAGTTAAAGTTCCATTACAAAGTTTTACCAAACTTGCTAATTATTACAACCACCAACCCCAGCCAGCCAGCCATGATTATAAGCACGGTTTCTAACTTTCTACTGATCGCCAGTCCCCACAGCCATGTGTTATTGTCGTGATCTGGTGTTGCAAATGGAATCCAGTGATATGGAGTCTTGAATGTGTGGAGTTGTAAGAGACGGGCTTTCATGCGACAGAATGTTATTGTAGTGATATTTCAAGCAAAATTTGCAGAGTAAAAGTGGGTCAATTTTTCAAATGACCTGAATGCTTACGTTTTACCTTTTACTAATCTTTGTGGCCATATTCTAAGAAAATCATACAGTATCAAGGTTGGGCGAAGAGATATTAAAGAAGAGAGAGAGAGGGGAGGGAGAGGGAGAGGAAGGGGAAGGGATCAATTTGTTTATATCACCCCAATTGCTTTGCGTTTTACTAATATTGTCCAATGTTCAGTCTTGATCCCTAAGGGTTGTAGGGCATGGCACGTAGTTGGAGGTTGGGAGGTTAGAAGCTTCTTGAACTAATTATCGTGTCTCCAACTTGATAAAATTCTAGCACTGTGCTACTGGTCATATATTGAAATATAGGAACGCTTAGGTCTAGTGCTCTTTTTCTCTAAAACTAGTCATTTGTCTTACTTTTTAAATAGTTAAAGCACATAACAGTACGTAATTAATTTGAAATATCGTCATTATAATAGCTCGGTTATAAATAAGTTTTTATCTTGTTGTTTGTTGTTGGGACGTAGTTGTAGTTTTCATCGTGCGTATGATCTTTACATATCCTAGCTAAGCTAGTAGCTAGTAGCTAGCAGATGATTTCGATGCTTGCTAGGTAACCGTTTTAAGGAATTAGGAAGGGTTGTGGTGTTGGTCTAGAAACCCCTTGCATGGGCGGCCCCCGGTCTTTGGATTGATGACGACTTGCCCTATACCTTCTATTTTTATTTGTCATTTTTTTATAAAACAAAATGAATTCAAAGTTTTGTGCGATTGGTTAGGACAGACTGGTGAGATATCCAATTGCGTTGCATGGTAATTATTTTTAAATTTATGAGACGGCCAGCAACAACATAGAAAGCTCAGTAATAATATAAACTATATAGCTTACGACTCTATTTTATCAGCCTAAAAGTAAATAATTAACCTACTACTTGCTCCAATTACAAACAAAGAAACTTGCTACTGGCCTAATAAAACAGGAAAACTTGCGTATTGTAGGGCAAAAGTGGTTTAACTAACGTCAGTTTCTGTGGAGGAGGTAATATTTTATGGTCGTATGAATAATATCGTAAACTGTTAATCTAAATCATGCATTTGAACAATTTTTTGTTTATTAACGATTTAGTAACTAGCTAGATAGTTGGATATTTAGAAAGAAATGTTTCTTTATATTGTGGATCTATGTTTTAGAAGTGTGAATTTTTACATTTGTCATTGGTCAAATTGGATATCACATCATGCGTGGAAGAAAATAATTGGGATGTAAAGTGAGTTTCCATCCTAACCTATATAAAAATTTTGATACAACTGCGTTATTATGATAGTTTTCACACCAAAAATCTCAAACTCTTATGTATGGTCGAGTAAGACCAAAATAACAAAGTCTCATACCTTTTTTTTTAATGCAACGATACGTATTTCATTAGAGGGCAGAAGTTGAAACCACTTCCAAACCCAACGAAAGGCAAGGAGTACAAAATAGTCCACAGTCTTAAAAACAAAACAACCAAATCACTAAAGATCCTCAGTGAGGAGGTCGATGATGAAAGACGGAGGACAATCAAGCCATTCGCTTTGATCGCCAATATTCAAACTATAACGAGCCAAACGATTAATATCGACTTTGGCTTGGCAACGAACATGAGTACAAACAACTTCAGTGATTGTAGAGAGCCAGAATACATGCCCTGCGAATAACATGATCAGAATACATTATCTAAGTTTATCTCAAACAGAATCAAAGTAAACTTACCGAGAAGAAAACAAAATTAAATCGTAGAAGCAATCATGCAAGAAAGAAAGAAGACATCTGGAATAATTAGGGTTTTAATTTTTCCTTTTTCTAATAATTTTGGGGACCATAAGCATCGGGGATATAGATGCTCCAAGTAGAATGGGAACAAATCAAACTTAGCTATGACATACGCAAAAATTAGTCTATTGAATCTCTTGATTTATTAATTTTATCTTGTTCAAATAAATAGATAATTTCTTCTAAGGCTAAATAGCCAACATGGTCCCTCAGAATTACATAACACATCACTTTAGTCTCTGAGATTGAAAATCAATAGAAATGGTCCCTGAGATTGTCCACCATCCATCATTTCGATCATTCAGTTAAAAACTCCACTAAGTGTCCCGGAGCTCTTAGCCGGAAGTTTAGGCAATTTTCAAAGCTTCGTAACGCAATCGTTTCTAAATCAAATTTGACCCATAATATATCAAAACGAAGATAGGAAAGTGTAGAACATGATTATACCTATTTGGAAGTCCAATGGTTGCCAGAGATGGTCGGAAAATAGCCTCAAAGTTGACTGGTCCGCAGGAAAATTGGAAAACTCATCTGAAACTAGGTAAACTTTAAACATTCATAACTTCTTCAATACTCAACGAAATCGAGTGATTCGAAAACGAAAATCATACTTCTCGACGAGACGAAGTTAGCCATTTTCGAGCCGTTTTCCAGGCAAACCACAGTGAATTAGCCATCGAGAAAGATACCATTCTCTTTGTCTTGTCGAGCAGTATGATTTTCATTTTTGAATCTCTCGATTTCGTTGAGTATTGAAGAAGTTATGAACGCTTAAAGCTTACCCAGTTTCTGACGAGTTTTCCAATTTTCCCTCGGACCAATCAACTTTGAGGCTATTTTCTGACCATCTCCGGCAACCATTGGGCTTCTAAATAAATATAATCTTATTCTACACTTTCCTATCTTCATTTTGATATATTATGGGTCGAATTTGGTTAAGAAACAATTGAGTTACGAAGCTTTGAAAATTGTCTCAACTTCTGACCAAGAGCTCCGGGATACTTAATAGAGTTTTTAACGAAATAATCAAAATGATAGATGGTGGACAATCTTATGGACCATTTCTATTGATTTTCAATTTTAAAAACTAAAGTAATGTATTATACAAATTTCAGAAACTATTTTAGCTATTTAGACTTTCTTCTAATAGAAAAAGTCAGATGTCTTCCACTTCTTAATTGGCTGGGGAAGCCAGCGCAAACCGCCCCAGCCAATAGCATCCCTATCACTCTGATTAACTAATTAAAACTAATTACTTCCATGATTAAGAGAATTAAGATGATAAATTAAAAAAATGACCTTTAGAAAATATCTACGCAGCAAAGGGACAGGCGTACCCCCACTCCACCACAAATCAGTCGACAGCCACACGAATATATTATTTTTATTTACCAAAACTTATAAAATTAAATAATTTGGAATAATTTTATTTTACATTGGCTTAGAAGTAAAGATTAGGCCTCCACTACGCTAATTATGAGAATAAGTATATTATAAAAATATATTCCTTGTCACCTTTCATCCGACGGCAGGAATACGATATATCAGCCACCTCTCTCATCCCATCCCTTCATTTTTTACTATTTTTTATTTTTTATGCTTTTTTTTAATTTTTTTTCCCTCCTGTTCCTAAATTGTGTGACGTCACACGTCGGTGGAGCACTCGTGCTACGACTTTTTATCCCCAAAACGACTGTGCTTTAATTGGTGCGCCATCCCGATTCCTGCGAATTCAACGCTCATGATGCACTCATTAAATTTGGACCACGCAAATTTCTCACCACACCCACCTCAACCCCCCACCCCTCACCCCGGATTCTCCTTTTCCGGGTATATATATGAATCCCAAGTTGTTTCTTAAACTTATTCATTTACAAAGCCTCCCCAACCAAAAAAAAAAAAATTACTTGCCTTCTGCTACTACTTGTGGCGTTCATAATTTTGGAAGGTCAGGGATGACAAAGGTGTACCCGAACACTGCAAATGCCAACACTGTCCCCGCCTGCGAGCCTCAGAGGCTCAAGAGCTCCGGCTCCGACGACGAAAACGCGACGGTCCTGACGGTGTGGAAGAAGTCCTTGCTGTTGAGCTGCAATGGGTTCACGGTGTTCGACTCCAAGGGCAATTTGGTCTTTAGGGTTGATAACTACTTGGCCGGCCATAAGGGCGAGATCGTCCTCATGGACGCCTCCGGCAAACCTCTCCTCACCATCCGTCGCAAGGTATATATGCTCATAATTTTAACTTGAGTATTTGTCGGACAATAATTTTGTTTGCGTACATTTTGTTGGTGTTATTTATTTGGTTGCTGATGGTTGTACGTAATTTTTGTACGTGTTAAATCAGCGGCTGAGCTTTGGGGACAACTGGGTGGTGTACGACGGAGAAACCGACGTGAATCCGCGGTTCTGCGCGACTAAGCACGTGAACATCCTCAAGAACAAGTGCTTGGCGCACATGACCTCAGCCAACAGCTGCAAAGGTAGTGGCTCGTCGAAAAACTACGACAACAAGAACGCGGTGTTTTATCAGATGGAAGGGTCGTACGCGGAGCGGTGCTGCGCGGTGTACGACAGCAAAAGGAGGGGGGTGGCCGAGATCAAGAGGAAGGAGGCAGTGGGCGGAGTAGCGTTGGGAGTCGACGTCTTTCGCCTCATCGTGCAGCCCGATATGGACACGGCGGTGGCCATGTCCCTCGTCATCTTGCTTGACCAGATGTACGGGACGTCGAGGCGGTGAAAAGTTAAAACTCCTTTTACTTCGTCACCCACCTTTTTCCCCTTGGTGGATTCACATCTCCTCCTCCTCTATAAATTCTATGTTCCATCTCTCTTTTTTGGTCTGATCTCGCCGATCTCTGGTTGTCTCTCCGATATTCCCACTTGCTTTTATCTTTTATCTTTTTCTTTCCCCTTTTTTTTTTTTCCCTTCTTTTAAATCGGAAAAAATCAGTGAAGCTTGGTTTTTTCCTTTTATATAAAAAACCAAGCTTCTTTTAGTGGGATGTAAATAGGACTTGGAAACAACAAAGTTTATCGGACGTAGGTTTATGTTTTTAGTTTTAAGAATTTCAGCAGAAACATATGTAATGTGTGAAAAGTTGATACGGTGAATATATTTTTGCAGTAATTATCTTGTTGCTGTTTTGGAAGTTGATTCTGCTATATGTGTTGTTGGACGTTTTGTTTGAGTTTATATATTCTTCTTAGTTACGAAAACTTGATTGTTCTCATTGAGTTCGATTCACTTTTCTCTCCTGTTAGAGTAATTTAGACCATCACTTATATTAAAATTGATTGATTTGATGGAGTAACTCAATTATTAAAGATTGATTAGTGATTAATAATCAGACAAAATCATGTTTTGAATTGGTGGTACATCAACATCAGTGTACTGGAAATACGACATTATATACTAAGTGTAATAGTATAATTGGTTAGAAATTTGTATAATAAAATTCAATCAATTATAATATTACACTTGGTGTGCATCAAAATTTCTCTATGAACTCTGATATCACTTCTAGAAGGCTCTTCAAAGTTCAAACACAACCTGGCTTCGAAAACCTAAGTTTACTTGTTCGCAATTTTCACAATATAACTTTTAAGTCTTTTATGGTATATCCAGCCATATGACTCAAATTCAATCCAAGAGTACAAAGTTACTCTACGAAAAGCATCTTCAACTCAAAAAACAAATTTAACCCTTCAAGTCGAATTCAACACACTTATAACATTAATTTATGAGAAGTGTTATTAGCATTCCAAAAATCACATTTAACACTCCTCACAAGTGTTTTTTTTTTTTTCTAATTATAGAAAGTTTGAAATGTTAAATGAGATTTTTGGAGTGCGAATAACAATTTCCTAATTTATATTCATTATTATAATTAAATTTTTATGTTCCTCCAATGAACTCAACGTTTTATTTTTAATCAAGAAACTTGAAATGAATGGTAAGAAAGTTGTGACCAAATTCATGGAGAGAGAAAGTGGTCACATATTTGTAAGGTGAGTAGTTTGCTTCTTGAGTTAGAACTGATTTGGTTGATGTGGCTCACCAAATCAAGGCATTTAAAAGCCTTTGAAGAACAATGTTGGTGACCTTACGGCTCTGACGAGCTTATTGGAACTGCTCTAACTAGGTTTAGGCTTAATTATTGTAGCAAATAGTTTTTGAATTTTACCCTTAGTTTAATTTTGCTTTGGACTCATATATTATTTTTTTAGTCTTTGAACTTAACAATGTGTTGTACCAGCTACTTATTATTACGGTCTAGCGGTATATCTCTTTACTTGTAAGTGAAAAGTTTTAGATTCGATTATCGTCAAATGCGAAGTTGAATCAATTATTATGGCTAGCCCAGTATGAATAACGTAGCACACTCATCCACCCCCTTAGTGTAAGTACTATCGTTTGTTCATTAAAAAAAAAATTTGTGTTGTACTATTCACTATCATTGTCTTTTTCTTTTCCGTTATACTTAGAAATATATTAGCAACTTCAATTGAAAACTTCAAAATACAACAGAAAAAAATAAAAAAAACAAATGAAAATTTATAACTAATATCTAAAACTTAAAATAAAATGATGTGGGTGGACTTTAACAGTTTTTAGATATTAGGCAATACGATTTTAAAGTTGGTAAGGATCGAACAGTGTTTGGACTTCGACAACTAACAAATCAAATATCAAACTAAAAAAAAAAAAAAAGAAATCCTACGTATTCAATTTTCTTACACAAAAAATCCTTGCTCATCTAAATTCATTTTGGAAGTTCCTTATATATCCTTCAATTTAATGAAAAATAGACGGCGTTAGTATAAATGATCAATGGTACAACACATTGTTAAGTTCAAAGATTAAATAAACTAATATGAAATTTCAATTACTAAATTTAAATCAGAGAACCAATGCTTAAACAATGCTACAATTAAGCGATGGTTTTAATATGTAACTATACCTCCTCCTATAATTTTTTTTTTTTTTTAATTTGAGTTGTTATATTTAGTCCAATTTTTTTATTTTATTACAACGATATATTTTATAGTAAGAAGAGGAAAAGTTCAGCTAAACTACACAATAAACAACCTACTTTTGCATCGAATTCACCTCCTTCTATAAATTAAGAGTAAAATCAAAGAATCATGAGCGGAAAGAAAGAGAAAAGATTATAGAAGAAGAAGCCTTCGACATCATCATTTTACAAAAGCCATATTGGGCCTTGAGGCAGCATCCTTGGGTCCCCAAATTGAAGCTCGTATAGGATTGAAGGCCCGTATAAGTCCGAGAAGAAACAATTATTTGTTGATAACCCTAAATAAAGGACTTCAGCCCAAGCAAAACCACAATTTTTTGTCACATGTCAAATGCCAAAAAGATGATCGAATGTTTCACAAAGGTTAGGGAAAGTTTTCCCCGGTTGTCTAGTAACATGTTGGCGTTGTGTTACATCCGAAGTCGAACAGGTATTGAGTTATACTGGTATCGGTGATAGGGATATGCTCGAAAATTAATGAACACTACGAAATTTAGTTCACTTAAACTCAATTTGCAGCCACAAAATCATCACAGTTACTATATTGGACTTAAGTCCTATACAAGCCTAATATTAAATTGACTCGTTATTTTTGTGGAGGAATCCACGATAGGGTTCGAACAACCCAATTAAGTGGTCGTCCAGCTGCACACATAAAACACCATGCTCACTACATGGTGCGGAATATTTTCTTCCAAGACTTCTTCTTGTATTTGAGTTGATGCTTCGTTAATAATATCGTTTTCTATTCAAATGCCATTACTAAATGCACGCATGCCCTTTTCCAAAATGAAATTCAAAATGTGGAAGACGACCTCGACGTTACTGAAATATAAATTATGTTTGTTAAGTAGTTGAAAAACATGAATTAAATAGCACAAGAGCATGAAGTAGGCACACACAAGGTTCAATTTTTATATACAAAATTGGACGCATGCACCTGCACGCAGCACCAAAAGGTGAATAAACTACATCACTGTATATTAATTTTTTTTTGTTTGGTTGAATAAGTTTGAATTCGATTTGGCTATTTATCTGAATTAAATCTAAAATACTTTGCTTCATGCAACTGAAAAGAAATAAGCTCATCAATTATACTTGAGTTTCACGTATGAGTTTACAACATCCGTACATATAATTTTAGAGGCTGATCATTATTAGTCACTTGTTATGGACGATTAATAGCAGATAAAAATCGTATATTATATATGATGTTGGTTTTATTTGTGCTCATATTAGAGAGATTTTTTTTTCATAAATTTGGAACACAAGTTGGTCTACTATGTGTCTAATACAAATAAGGACAATATATATTTTTCAGTTTATCTTCACTTGTACTATACATGTAGTGTACCGACTCCTTTTTTCATGCAAACTGAAAATCTTTCATATTGTTATAGGAATAAAATCATCTTCACTTATAAATGAGAGGTTTTAGATTCGATTCTTGTCAAATACGAATTTGAACCACATTATTATTAACCTATTATGAGGTTAAGTCCACCTCTTCTTCCTTAGTATAGATAATATCGTTTGTTAAAAAAAAAAAACAAAATTGATTGTAGATATGCTTTGCCTGGCTAATTAAATAAATACAGTCAAATTCAGGAAATTTTCATTGATGATGTTTTTTGGGAAACTTTAACGAAAAGCTCTCGGTACTGTTCACTTTAACGAAAAATCATATTTTTATACTAAAAAGTCAATCCTAGTACTGTCATATCCCACATCGCCCAGGAGAATGGATCATGTAAGCCTCCTAGTATTGTAACATCCCACATTGCCCAGAGGAGTGGATCATGTAAGCCTCCTAGTATTATAACATCCCACATTGCCCAGGGGAGTGGATTATGTAAGCCTTATATGTATATTCCCATTTCTACCTAGCACGAGGCTTTTTGGAAGCTCACTGGCTTCAGGTTCCATCGGAACTCTGAAGTTAAGCGTGTTCGCACGAGAGCAATCCTAGGATGAGCGACCCATTGGGAAGTTCTCGTGTGAGTTCCTAGAAACAAAACCATGAAGGCGTGGTCGGGGCCCAAAATGGAAAATATCGTGCTACAGCGGAGTTGAGCCTGGGATATGGTGGAGCCCGGGTCGAGATGTAACAATTTGGTATCAGAGCCTAACCCTGGCCGTGAGTGTGCCGATGAGGACGTCGGGCCCTAAAAGGGGTGGATTGTAACATCCCACATCGTCTAGGAGAGTGGATCCTGTAAACTTTATATGTATATTCTCATCTCTACTTAGCAAGAGGCCTTTTGGAAGCTCACTGGCTTCGGGTTCCATCGGAACTCCAAAGTTAAGCAAGTTCGCGCGAGAGAAATCTCAGGATAGGCGACCCATTGAGAAGTTCTCGTATGAGTTCCCAGAAACAAAACCGTGAGGTCGTGGTCGGGACCCAAAACGGACAATATCGTGCTACAGCAGAGTCGAGCTCGGGATGTGGTGGAGCCCAGGTCGGGATGTGACAAGTACACTTTATATTAGTTTAAACTCAAAGTTTTCAGACTCTTTTCATTAGATTTTTTTTTTTAATCAATATCAGTCAATTACATAATTAGAACGAAATTAGGTTCTTCTAGAGTATTCTTTTAATAATCCGAATCAAACTTTCTTTCTCCCGCAGCCGAAGGTCAAAACGGTCGGTATCACCGCGCCTCTGGTTTTCGACGTCACGTGGATTCTGCTTGGCCAATGATCGCGACTTCTCCACCTCTACGCACCAAGTGTAACGACAAGATTTCGTGATCACCTTACAACGGTGGACCGCAAATCACCGAGTCAAATACCGCGGGGCCTATTCCCCTACGCCAAGCGGTATCCTGGAAAGGTCAAATGTACCAAAAATCAACGGCGTTAGATTTGGAAACAAGTCCCTAGCGAGAACAAGCTTCATTCCGTCTGTTGGGTTCCGTTATATATACCGGCCGCAGGGAGATCAAGCTCGCAGTTGCTTTCTCGCTCTCTTCAGCTCTTCTGTTCCACAAGGTTCGATATTTTTCATAATTCCTAAGATTTTTTATTTAATTAAATTTGTTTTTATTTAATTATCGAGTGCGATTTGTTTGTATTTTTGTGATAGTTTGAGTGAGAATTATTTATATTTTTGTGACATAAAATTGGTGGGTCATTGGGTTTTGATTGAATTTTGATTTGCGTTGGAAGCAGAAAAATCGAGTAAAAAAGGAAAATGGGGAGCTCAGGATTCGACTGGAAATTGCCGGATCACCCTAAGTTGCCGAAGGGGAAGGTCATCGGACTCATCGTTTTGGATGGGTGGGGCGAGGCCAACGCCGACCAGTACAACTGCATCCATGTCGCCGAGACCCCCGTCATGGATTCGCTCAAGAAGGTGACTTTCGTAATTTTAAAGATCTGGTTTTTCGAATTTCGATTGCCCTGTTCGTTTAAAGTCTCAGATTTTTGTTGTTGGATTTGAATTTCTATTCGTACTGATTGCGTGTGTGTGGTGTTGTCGATATAGGGTGCTCCTGAAAGATGGAGGTTAGTGAGAGCACACGGAACTGCTGTGGGACTTCCCACAGAGGATGATATGGGCAACAGTGAAGTGGGTCACAATGCCCTCGGCGCCGGGCGTATTTTTGCCCAGGGGTGAGTTCTAGGCTTTCCCTTCCGTTTGTTTTACTTCCTGTATGTTAAATTTGATGTGTGTATTGTACGCTGTATGGTTTTCGATATGTTTGATGAATATCTGTTAAGAGAATTGGATTCGTAGTGAGTTGTGATGAGTAATCATGGTTGTTTTTTTTTATGGATATAGTGCTAAGCTTGTTGATGCTGCACTTGCTTCCGGGAAAATTTTCGAGGGAGAAGGTTTTAAGTATGTTAAGGAATCCTTTGCGACTAACACTTTGCATCTCATTGGTTTAATGAGTGACGGTGGAGTTCATTCTCGGCTTGATCAATTGCTAGTGAGTTTTTTTAGCACCAGTCTTTTTTTTTACTTTGGATTTGGTTTTCCTCCTTCAAATTTTGCCTTTATCATATGTTTTCTTTTCTCCTGGTGTAGTTGTTGCTTAAAGGAGCTAGTGAACATGGTGCTAAAAAGATCCGTGTTCATGTTCTCACTGATGGACGTGATGTTCTGGACGGTTCAAGTGTGGGATTTGCAGAAATCCTTGAAAATGACCTTGCGAAATTGCGTGAGAAAGGTGTGGATGCACAGGTTGCGTCTGGTGGTGGTCGTATGTATGTCACCATGGATCGTTATGAGGTATTGAATGAAGCCAACTCTTAAGCTCATTCTGCAGGCATGATTGGGTCTAATTCTTCCTTCTGTATTTTTTACCGTTGTGTGTATATTGTATATAACAGTTTGTTTAAAGTACGTTCCTTTTTACGAAGTGTTCTGAATCTGATGCTCTGCATGGTGCTGCCCCTCTTATGTCTTAAGAAGGGTTTATTAGGGTTTCCATTAGCTTGTTTTATTTATGTTCCAGAATTATCGTGCTTTTTTATTCAAACATACTACAAGCCTTCCCAAATTTTGGTAAAGTTTCCATGCCAAGAATCATAGGATTGATTTGTCTTTATGGTTAATACTTATCTGAATTGTTGCTCTGGTACAGAATGAATAAATTTTAGATTTTGCCTGTTCAATATTATTGTCTATTTGTCAAAAATGTTAAGTTCATATGAATGGTATTTTGCAGAATGATTGGAGCGTCGTAAAACGAGGATGGGATGCCCAAGTTCTTGGTGAAGCTCCCTATAAATTTAAGCATGCAGTTGAAGCTATCAAGACGTTGAGGGCGGAACCAAACGCCAATGACCAGTATCTACCTCCTTTTGTTATTGTTGACGACAGTGGAAAGCCTGTTGGCCCGATCGTGGATGGTGATGCTGTTGTTACATTCAACTTCCGTGCTGACCGTATGGTTATGATTGCCAAGGCGCTTGAGTATGCCGATTTTGACAAGTTTGATCGAGTTCGAGTCCCAAAAATCCGTTATGTCGGTATGCTTCAGTATGATGGTGAGCTGAAGCTTCCAAGTCGTTACCTTGTAGAACCCCCAGAGATTGATAGAACATCTGGTGAATATCTTACGTACAATGGTGTCCGCACTTTTGCCTGCAGGTTTGTTTTTCTCACCAAGTAAAACTATCGGTGTTGCTGTCAAGCGTTAGGATTGTGTTTTCTCCAAATCATAATGAATTTCTTTAGGATTTCTCCCCATTCCATGTTAAAGGTATCCGTTTTTGTCAGTTTTAGTGGGTAATGTGATTTTGACTTTGTATTAGGGAAATCCAGATATGGGTTGGAAATAGTAGCAACCATTGTGTTTCTTTGTTCTTCGTTCAAAATTGTTTTTGCTTGATGCCATATCTGGGGCGTTTTGGTGGTGGGTGGGGGGGGGGGGGGGGGTGATGGGGGGTGGCGGTGGTGGGTGGGGTGGATTGGGATTATTGATTTTGACCAATTTGCCCAGAATTTTCTTTTCATAGTTGAATTTTTGGCTTCCGACCCATAAATTCTTTGCTTTCACAGTGAGACTGTTAAGTTTGGCCATGTCACTTTCTTCTGGAACGGCAATCGTTCTGGTTATTTTAACGATAAAATGGAGGAGTATGTGGAAATTCCAAGCGATAGTGGAATCACATTCAACGTCCAACCAAAAATGAAGGCAGTCGAGATTGCTGAAAAGGCCAGGGATGCTATTCTTAGTGGAAAGTTTGAGCAGGTAATGGATAGGCCAGTCATGCGATCTAAGAATTTCTAGTATCCAAAGAAAATATTTCAGATTTGATATTTTGCTTTTGCTTTTGCTTAGGTTCGTGTTAACCTTCCAAATGGCGACATGGTGGGGCACACAGGCGACATTGAGGCCACAATTGTTGCTTGCAAGGCTGCTGATGAAGCCGTCAAGGTACTGTTGCTATACCTTGAATGCTTGGTATAGGAGTATGAAGTCAAATTTGATCAAAAAGCCGGTGCTTGTTGCCTTGTATTCCCCTTACCCCTCACTGTAGTGAAAAAGTTCCACGACTTCTTACTGAGTTGCTATTGTGTACTTGCAGATAATTCTTGATGCAATCGAGAGGGTTGGTGGAATTTACGTCGTCACTGCTGATCATGGTAACGCTGAGGATATGGTGAAGAGAAATAAGACCGGGCAACCTCTTCTCGACAAGAGTGGCAACATTCAAATTCTTACTTCCCATACTCTACAGCCAGTAAGTTCTCCCAAATTTTTTCTGTCATTTTTATAACAAACGACAAGAGCGGCCACTGTCGATTTACCATAGATTCATAGTATAGAACATTGTCGAATTCCACAGGTTTTCAGTCATTGATTGTTTTGGTTTTTCTTGAAGGTCCCAATTGCAATTGGAGGTCCTGGACTTGCACCCGGAGTCCGTTTCCGCAAGGATCTTCCTAGCGGCGGGCTGGCCAATGTTGCTGCAACTGTGATGAACCTGCATGGATTCCAGGCTCCTAGCGACTACGAGCCATCCCTCATCGAAGTTGCTGATAACTAGGAAGGCCAGAGAAAAGAACTCACTCTAGTTTTTCCTAAATTTTGACTTAGGTTTACGAACGCCATGGAAAGAGGGTTGTCGGTTACGGTTTGTTTATTAAGTAAGTTCGAACAATGTCTGCTCACAGTAGCTTCCGTGGGCGAGTACGCTAATTGGATCATTGTCTAAGGAGAATGACAGAACAAGAAAGATACAAAAAATGGAATTTTTTTGCTATTATTTTATGCTCTATCAATTACCATTGAGGTTGTGTTGTCTTGAAATATCAGTGTATGAAGGACAATGTTTTTCGGATTGAAGGTTTTAAATCTCAGTTTATAATTTTTTTGTCTTCCTACAGATTCGCAAAAAGCGTGTTATCCACACCATTTTTAATTAAATACACCATTCTTAATTTTTGATTGACGAATTAAATAAATTGAACAGAGCAATGACAACAATTAAGGGAGTGTGTTATCCACACACCATTTTTAATTAAATACACCATTCTTAATTTTTGAGCAATGACAACAATTAAGGGAGCGTGTGGAAGGTAAAAAAGAGAGTGTGGGCACCGTCCACTCAGAAATTGCATAAGAAATTTAATTAAGGTGCTTTAATCAATAGCCATCTCAAGTTAAATTACATGTCATTATTATATTTTTTTAAATTAATATATTTTTTGAATTTATCATTTTATCTGCATGATGCACTTTCTCTTATTTAGTGGAGATATTAGTAATTAAACTATAAGTTTTCTTCTTCCAAATATGTTTTTTCGATTACATTTTTTTTTTAGTTATACAAACATTTAATATTATTTCTTTTTCCAAATGATTTTTTTCTTTCCAATAGTTGGTAATCAACATAAAAGTTCCGCGTAATTTTTCCATTTTTTTATGAATTTTTTTTTTTTTTGCTGATTTTTATGTATATTAGGTACAATACATTACGTGTATATTATCTGCGGGTATGTTTGAATTTACAAAAATCATTAATTGATACATTTTGTTAATATTGGTAAATTATTTTTATTTTGGTACGTTTTATTTTGTACACATTATGTATTGGTACATTTATATTATTCTCAATCCTATTTTCTCTTCACGTACTAAAAGAAAAACTTATTTCGGTACATTTGATTTTGTGAGATTTAAAAATATTTTAAACTATTTTGGAAAGAAAATATCTTAAATCGTAGATAATTATTGCTAAATTGTAGTTATCACATCCTGGGCCCACTCCACCACCGTAGCATGATATTGTCCGTTTTGGGCCCCGACCACACCCTCACAGTTTTGTTTCTCGGAACTCACACGAGAACTTCCTAGTGGGTCACCCATCATGAGAGTGTTCTCGCGCGCTACTTGCTTAACTTCGGATTTCCCATGAAAACCGAAGCCAGTGAGCTCCCAAAAGGCCTCGTGTTAGGTAGAGATGGGAATATACATATAAGGCTTACAGAATCCACTCCACTGAGCGATGTAGGATGTTATAGTAGCATTATTGTGAAAATAAATTGAAACTAACCTTTTTTGTTTTTTTTAACAATTATCTCTAACGGAGGAGAGTGTAATTAAAAGGCTATATTATAGGAAATTTGTTATGATATAATGTGCGTATAGCACCAAAATTATGACCAAAAAAGTTTAATCAAATCACTAAAAGGCATGGATATTTGATCTAGAAAATTCAAAACTGAGGCGCCTATATCAAAATATCCCTTTTTGAGAAGTGTGAAAGGTAAAAAAGATAGTGTGGGCACCGCCTATCTGTGAGTAACACCCACGTTTTTTTTGTAAAAAAATGCAATTTTTTTTCTCTTAATATTTTTTATGAGCATTAAGGAAAACATTGTAAGGCATTTAGAAGCGGTTTTACGGTTTATTGAGCAATAAACATATATTTAACAAAATATTTAAGCTGAAAACTTAAAGAAAGTGAAAAATACAGTATTGAGACCCAAAACAATGTCAAGATGGGGTTCTACGCTCAAGAATAACAACAAAAACTCTTACATTAATTTTCAAACGTCATAGCAAGGCGAAGGTGAAAATAATAAATTGAACGATGATTTAAGTATGAATTTTTAAAATTGACTAAAACCCGTGAGTGTTAATCCACGTTTATTGTAAAAAATGCAAAATTTTTATTATCTCAAAATATTTTCCATGAGCATTAACAAAGGAAGTATATTTATGATTTATTGAGCAACAAGTGTACATTTAGTAGAATATACACGCCCAAAAGTAATAAAATAAGTGAAATATATAGAGATATTAAAATGTATATTTTTTTATTTTACTTTTTAAAATGTATATTTTTTCATTTATTTCTCTTTCCACTACAAATAGCCATCATATTCATGTTCTTCAAAATATATTTTTTCGTACGTGGAGCCCGACTCATTTTCTGAGCACCCAAGAGTTCGTCTCGTTCTGCATGCTCAGAGCCCACCTTGTCTTGTGTGTCTGACTTTATAAGGCACTTGGAATCGGTTTTTAGGATTTATTGAGCAACAAATGTATATTTAGTAGAATATTTAATTCAAAAACTAAAAAAGTAGGGAAAAATATAGTGGTGAGGCCCAAAACATTGTCAAAAAGGGGTTTCACCTCATGAATATCAATGAAAAGTCTGACATTAATTTTCAAAATTTCATGGTGAGGCAAAAGTGAAATAAATAGTTTGAACGATGATTTAGGTATGAATTTACAAAACCGACTGAAATCGAGTGTGTTAACCACGTTCTTTGGTTGAAAATGCAAATTTTTATTTTCATGAAATTTTTTCCATGAGCATTAAGGATAAATTTTTAAAGCATTTGGAAGCGAATTTATGATTTATTGAGCAACAAATGTATGTTTACTAGAATATTTAAGCCCAAAACTAGAAAAATAAGTGAAAAGTATAGTAGGGAATCTCAAAATATTGTCAAATGTGGTTCTATCCTCAAGAATATCAACGAAAATTCTTGCCTTAATTTTCAAAACTTCACGGTGAGGCTCGGTAGCATGGTACCGATCTTTACCTATTCTAATTATTTATTTTATTTGAATAACCACTATTAAATTTGAAGATCTTTAAATCGTTGATTACAAGTGTTTAAATATATATTATAATAGAGTTTTCACGAAAAAAAAATATTTTGAAGAACATGAACATGATAGTTTGTTGCTGTGGCAAGAGAAATAAATGAAAATTGACAACCATATATGAAAATAAAACTAAAAAAGAAAAAAAAATTGAAAAGGGTGATCGGTATGAAGCTAGCAACGTATTTGGGAAACAGTCACTACCTTACTAGCGACTAGTTTTGCAGACAATCGGTAGTGAAGTACCAATCATATGATTTTCTATATTTTTATATTCTGTTTTTTAATATTTTTTCATTGATTTTTTTTTTCTTCCTACCTTACTTTATTTACATTCAGTATCTTGAAGCATACTCAGATGATCTTAATATACTATTTTTCTCTACAATTAGGAGCATTTTTCCCACTGGGTTTTTGCTACCTAACTAGGTTTTAATGAGGCACCCATCCCGGGATGATCATACTTCGTTGAGTTCACGACCTTCGTCCAGTTTGACGAGCGTTTTAGACATTATGCATATTTTTCTTACTTTTCTCCTTAGTCTATGGATTTTCCCTATTCCTTGGGTTTTACCATAGCAAGGTTTTTGTGAGTTTTTTACAAATGCATACTTCAAAGTAAATTTGAGACATGCGATCACCCGTTGTGCCAATGACTTCATCAACTATTCTACCTTATCTGCTGAAGAATCTGATGCGATGGTTTGTTGAGTATTTACACACTCAAGGGGGAGTGTTGCAGACTTGTAGTCATATTTAGAATAGGAATGTGATTGTGTAAATCCTAGTAGATATGTGAATGTATCTTATATTCCTATTAGGGGTAGATTACCTATTAAGAGTTGTAATCCTAAAGGGAAAGGATTTTACCTATCCTACTACTATAAATAAAGGCACAATGGGTGGAATAGACCACACCCACAATTACACATCTCTCTTTTCTCTTTATCTATGCCGCACCCCTCTCTCTCTGGCCTCCATAATTGTTTAGTAAATTATGCCTACAACACGTTATGAAGGCCATATAAAGAGAGAGGGTGCGGCAATGGTAGAGAGAAAGAGAGATTTGTAATTGTGCGGTATGTTCTATTCCACCCCATTGTGCCTTTATTTATAGTAGTAGGGAAGGTTAATTCCTTACCTTTTAGGATTACAACATTTAATAGGTAATCTACTCCTAATAGGAATATAAGATATATTCCCATATCTATTAGGATTTACATAATCACATTCCTATTACAATAGGACTGCAATATATAATAGATTTTTCAAGGAAAAAAAATATTTTGAAGAACATGAACATGATAGTTTGTTGCCATGACAAGAGAAATAAAAGAAAAATTGACAAACATATGAAAATAAAACTAAAAAAAGAAAAAAAAAATTGAAAAGGATGATCGGTATGAAGCTAGCAACTTATATCAGATAAAGTCACTACCTTGTTAGCGACTATTCTTGCAGACAATCGGTATAAAAGTACCAATCATATGATTTTCTATATTTTTATATTCTGTTTTTTTATATTTTTTCATTGATTTTTTTTCTTCCTACCTTACTTTATTTACATTCAAATATCTTTAGATTTATACTTGTATCCTTGTTTTTGAGTGTTTTGACATGACTTATAAGAAAATTTTCATCGAAAATCATTAATAGAACATGAATATGATATTTTGGTGTTATGGTAAGGAAAAAATGAAAATTTAAAAAAAAAAAAACAGAAAATAAATAAATTGATGCTTTAGGAGCGTGTCAATAGTAGCAGGCCATAAAAATAACACATTGAGTTTGGCGCGTTTCAACAGTCAACGCACTCGAATATTTTCTGGCTCGTCGCTGCGCGGCGGAGAAATTTATTTTTAAGAAGGGGACTCTAAAAAATGGGATATTTCATGGACTCTTAAATCTTTGTTGTATCAAATTATGCGGTAATCAAACTTTATAATTCGGTGTTTGTTTCACTAGTCAATTTGAATTATAGTTGATGCAATTATTAAATGTTTTAAAGTTATTTTTTTGATAATCAAAATGTCAACATATTTTCAACCACCACGGGATGATCCAGAGTTGAAGAAGAATTTTAGGTCTGTATTCTACATCATACGTATTTTGTTCGATTTTGATGCTGGTGATTGCCACGATGGTGGCTAGGGTCATTGCGAGTCTTGGATCACTGATGTAGTGAGGCCTAAGACCGATCTCTGTTTTTCCAAAAAAAAAAAAAAAAAAAAAAAAAAAAAAAGTCAATATAGTAAAACACTGAAAAAGAGGAGGCAAGCGAATTCAAATTTCTAACAACATCGCAACGGCGGGACGCGTGGCCCTCTTTCCTTTCCGTTCCGTTGGCATCGTCCCCCCACGCTCCTTTCCGCCTCTCCTTTAAATTTAAAAATTTAAACCCCCAACAGAAAACGGACGGTCCGATTTGGATCCAGAAAAACGAGACATCAGAAAATTCAAATTTTTAGGGTTTCTGATTCCCGATCTCTCAGAAATGGAGAAGTACGAGAAGCTCGAGAAGGTCGGCGAAGGCACGTACGGCAAGGTCTACAAGGCGAAAGACAAAGCCACAGGGCAGTTGGTGGCGCTGAAGAAGACGCGCCTTGAGATGGACGAGGAGGGCGTGCCGCCCACTGCCCTCCGCGAGGTCTCGCTCCTACAGATGCTCTCTCAGTCGCTCTACATCGTTCGATTGCTCTGCGTCGAACACGTCGACAGCAAAGAGGGGAAGCCCGTCCTGTACTTGGTGTTCGAGTATTTGGACACCGATCTCAAGAAGTTCATCGATTCACACAGGAAGGGGCCGAATCCTGGGCCGATGCCGCCGTCGCTGGTGCAGAGCTTTATGTACCAACTGTGCAAGGGGGTGGCGCACTGCCACTCCCACGGCGTCCTCCACCGCGATCTGAAGCCGCAGAATCTGCTTCTTGACAAGGAAAGGGGGATTCTGAAGATCGCTGATCTCGGACTCGGCCGCGCATTCACTGTGCCTCTCAAGAGCTACACGCACGAGATTGTTACTCTCTGGTATAGAGCGCCCGAGGTTCTGCTGGGTTCGGCTCACTACTCCACTGGCGTTGATATGTGGTCCGTAGGATGCATCTTCGGTACTCCTTTCTTACTCCCTCTCGCGAATTCTTCAATTTCATTTCGATTCAATGCTTTAATTGATTAATTAGTTAACTAATTTGATCGATTATGCTAAATTGCAGCGGAGATGGCAAGGAGGCAGGCTCTTTTTCCGGGAGATTCTGAGTTCCAGCAGTTGCTTCACATTTTCAGGTGTTTGTGTTATGTTTCCCCTCGTTTTTCGCGTTTCTCGAATCCAATTTTTGGGAATGTGAAGAAGGAAAAGATCAAATCTTTACTTGCTACTGTTTTACTATATGTGTAGGCTGCTAGGAACACCATCTGACAAGCAGTGGCCAGGAGTTTCTTCTCTGCGAGATTGGCACGTGTATCCGCAGTGGGAGCCTCAGAACTTGGCTCGTGCTGTTCCTGCTTTGGAGCCTGAAGGAGTTGACCTCCTAGCCGTAAGTTTTCTTCGATCATTCAATGCTTCGATTAACTTGTCGCTTAGAAACCAACGATGTGTTTAGTCTTCTCAACAGCATTCTTCAAGAACATAGCCAGCATCCATCTATGCATCGTACTAGTTTCTTGGAATGCTTAATCTCATTTCTTAACTCTGATTTCTTTTCAAGAACATGGTGTTCTCCAAGGTTATTTTCATTTTTCAACGTCAATTAGAAATCATGGAGCTTGAATCAACGTGTAGATTTGTTGTGTAATTGGTTGTCTGGTCCATATGCGACAGATTGTTTTCAAGTCTTGTGATGAATGAGTACCGTAAACTTGTAACGGTTAAGTTGTTTAACAAAATGTGTCGTCATTGGATCAGTCTAATACCGTCTTGCTTTTGGACTATGCAGAAAATGCTTAAATATGATCCAGCTGAGCGAATCTCCGCGAAAGCTGCCCTTGACCACCCTTATTTCGACACCCTGGACAAGTCTCAGTTCTGAAGTTTCACTTATGAACACAAAGATGCTATGAAGTGCTTTCTCATACCTTGGAAGAGATGAATTCAGTGCTGCCTTGCCTTTTTTCAACTGTTGTCGGGGGAAGTCAGCCGTCATCATCTTGGTGATTCCAAATTATTGTATGATGTTTGCATCCCTGTAAATCACGGTGTGGTTATCCTTGTTAGACAACTCATCGTTTTTAAGTATTGTTATTTGACTAATGCTAATCAAGCAAATTCGCAACCGCGGCCATAGCGAAGAAGATATAAAAATGGAAGTTTCCTGTTTATGAATCTCCTTTATCGATTTAAGAAGGGCTATTATACAAAATGATCTCTGAGATTTGCATGATCAATAGAAATGGTCCATGAGACTGAAAATCAATAGAAATGGTCATTGAGATTGTTCACCATCCATGATTTTGGGCAATTTACAAAGCTTTGTAACTTAATTGTTTCTTAACCAAATTCGACCCATAATATATCAAAATGAATATGGAAAAGTGTAGAATAAGATTATTATACCTATTTGGAAGCCTAATGGTTGCCGGGGATGGCTGGAAAATAGCCTGAAAGGTGACTGGTCCACAAGAAAACTGGAAAACTCGCCGGAAACTTGGTAAACTTTAAACGTTCATAACTTCTTCAATACTCAACAAAATTGAGTGATTCAAAAACGAAAATAATACTTCTTGACGACACGAAGAGAATTATACCTTTTTCGAAGGCTAACTCGCCGTGATTTGGTTGAACAACGGCTCGAAAGTGGCTAACCATTTTCGAGCAGTTTTCCGGTCAAACCACGGCGAGTTAGCAGTAAAGAAAGATACCATTCTCTTCATCTCATCGAGAAGTATAATTTTCGTTTTTGAATCACTTGATTTCGTTGAGTATTGAAGACGTTATGAACGTTTAAAGTTTACCCAGTTTCAGACGAGTTTTCCAGTTTTCCTGCAGACCAGTCACATTTCGGGCTAGTTTCCGGTCATCTCCAGCAATCATTGGACTTCCAAATAGATATAATCTTGTTCTACACTTTCTTATCTTCATTTTGATATATTATGGGTCGAATTTGGTTAAGAATCGATTGAGTTACGAAGCTTTGAAAATTGCCCAAAGAGTTTTTAACGGAATGACCAAAATCATGGATGGTGGACAATCTCAAGGACCATTTCTATTGATCATGCAAATCTCAGGGACCATTTTGTATAATAACCCATTTAAGAATCGTTCCTGTATTGCTAAAACATTGAAAAGAGGGGCTCTAAAAGTGATCACGAGTGAAGATGTGTCGAAGTGAAAGCCCCTAGGATTATTGAATGTAAATATGTGAATATAGGGTTAAAAGCGGGAGATAGCCTAGTTCCTGCAGGCCGAGATCAACAAGAACTTACAACTGGGGGCCGACAAACTGGAAAAATCATAGATGATTAGGTACTTCGGATACCCTATTAATAATGTTAACCATGTGATTAGGTAATTTGGATATCCTATTAATAGTTTTAACCATGTGATTTGGTTTTTGACCTAAGAAAGCTAATACTACGGAAAACATCGTTTATAGGAGAAATTTTAAGTGACGATCACACCAGGCTAACTAATCCATGTCTGATGTTTTAAAGGACGACAATTTTGATATTTCATAAACCTAAGGTGTATTATAATAAATAGATATTGTTGGGTGACAGTGTGATCATCATGCTAGAATTTTCTGCGTATCGCACCGACCAAACTAAACAAGAAGGTAGTCAATTTGGTTATGATCTATGTCATTATCAAGATCATTTACAGCCAAATTATCCCATTTTCCATGGAAAAAACAGCCCATCTAAGTCGGGGAAAGGTTGTGGGGTGCTTATTTTCTGGTCCTAATTGGTTGGCAACATTTTAACCTCTCCATAAAATTAAGGTTTATGTCACAACTCACAAACCTCAAAACAGAACAAGTCTCTCAAATCCTCTGACCGAAAAACCACATCAAAATTTCCCACCAAATATAAACTCACTCCACCGATTCTCTCTCTCTCTCTCTCTCTCTCTCTCGCTCCCCCTCTCTCTCCCCTACTTTGTTTCTCATCATTTTTCTTCATTTGTTTGATCACCTTCTCTGTTTTTCCCTTATTTTTTCCCTTTCTATTTAAAATTAATACATAATTATTGTTTAGAAACTGTAGGATCAAATCATAAAACAAAATAGGGAAAAAGATAGGGAAGTGGGGGATGGAAGGATTGGATGCGCTGATACAGAGACTGTTGGAAGGCAGGGTTAACAGAGGTAAAAAGATTCAGCTAACCGAATCCGAAATCCGGCAACTTTGCATCACTGCCAAAGAAGTCTTCCTCCGGCAGCCTAATCTTCTCGAATTGGAAGCCCCCATCAACGTTTGCGGTACGTAAAATGTTTATGATTCCGGCTTGCATTATTTGTTTGTTGTTGATTTGGTAATATGTAAACTTGTAATGCAAGCAACGAGTTACAGAACGCTGATATTTGTACAACATTTATTGATCACGTTGCGGGATTTTGCAGGTGATATACACGGGCAATATCCGGACCTCTTGCGATTATTCGAGTATGGAGGCTTCCCACCGGACGCCAACTATGTGTTCCTTGGAGACTATGTAGACAGAGGAAAACAAAGCATAGAGACAATATGCCTTCTCCTTGCATACAAAGTCAAATTCCCGGACAACTTTTTCCTCCTCCGAGGGAACCACGAATGTGCTTCCATCAACCGAATCTATGGATTCTACGATGAGTGTAAACGCCGCTTCAGCGTCCGGCTATGGAAGCTCTTCACAGACTGCTTTAATTGTTTACCTGTGGCTGCAGTCATAGATGACAAGATCTTCTGCATGCATGGTGGCCTGTCTCCTGAGTTGAACAGCTTGGAACAACTCAGAGCCATCGAAAGGCCGGTTGACGTGCCGGATCAAGGGCTTTTGTGTGACCTACTTTGGTCGGATCCGGACAGGGACATTAAAGGGTGGGGTGAGAATGATAGGGGTGTTTCTTATACCTTTGGGGCAGATAAGGTTGCAGAGTTCTTGATGAAACATGATATGGATCTCATATGCCGGGCTCACCAGGTCTCTGTTTTTCCCTTTTTTATATTTTATAAAGTTCACCGGTTGTATACAATTATGTCCCAATATGTTTTAGGTCACATAATGAGAGAGGTACGCCGCTTGATTGTATGCAACTGGTGATAGGAAAGAAGAATATCAAGTTTTCAAGAATTATTTTATGGAAATGATTTCCGCGGTTCCCTTTTTATCCTTCTGCAAACCTTTTTCTCCATCATTTGAATCTCCTTCGATTTAATCCTTTGTTGACAGGTTGTCGAAGATGGATATGAGTTCTTTGCAGAACGGCAGTTGGTGACCATATTCTCAGCGCCAAACTATTGCGGAGAGTTCAACAATGCAGGTGCATTGATGAGTGTGGATGCAAGTTTGCTTTGCTCATTTCAAATAGTGAAACCCTGGAGAGGGAAAGCTCCTCAGGTAGAATGATTCTAAAGCAATTGGGGAGCTCTGGAATTTGAATACTATTTACAGAAGGCAAATTTGCATGCCAAAAGAAATCTTGCATATTTTCCTGCAAGCAAAAGCATTAAAAAGCTGTCTGTGTATATAAAACCGTCATATACATATAACTTTTCTGGTATCTTGCTTACATAATTTTCCCAGATTTCGCTGATTTTCTTAAGCTCGGTTCATCTTTCTTGGAATTGAAAAAATATAACGAGTCTTCATTTGCTTCCTCTTCGAAAGAAATGGAGTGATCAACGAGAGCTAAGCCAAGATCTTCGTTTGAAATTTAAGAAAAGATGGATGAACAGCTTACAAGGTTGTTTGATATATTCAGTTTGATCAGGTAAATTCGAAGGTAACGAAGAGTCTAGCAAGAAATTAACATTCAAAAATGGCAATACAATTAACTAAACATTGAAATAATAAGCAAAGCAACTTCCTCTATCAAACTGGTGGAAAACTAGAGTCTTGCCTTGTGCTTCAGTTACATAAATGCCAAATGTTCATAAAGGAACCACTGCGACGACTTTCTTCTGCTTCAGTCGGCTTCCCATAACGTTTTAGCGGAATCAAATTCCCATAACTTTTCAGGGAAATCAAGCTACTGGTATAACTAAAGATGCTCGTATACAACCCCTTTCGGTATATCGGACATTTTACTCGATGTATGCAAACAGTTCTTAGATCCAAGAGGACTACAGTGCTGTTGCTCTTTCTCGAACGTTTGAAAAAAATCCCATGCTCCCATTCGCAACAAGTCCAAAGCCTATAACTTCTATACCGACATTCTGCATTAATCATTCTGGCTTCTATTCTGTGACCTAAAACCCACTCTTTTTCATCATAGTTTTTCAACATCCATATGTCAAGGTGTTTATCTGATGAAGCATCAACGACGGACAAAGATCCTCTCAGATTAATCAAGTGAAAGCGCTGGACAGAGTGGAACTTACGCGGCATGTTTCTTAAGGGGGGATCAGGAATATTCCAACCGAACTCCTCTTTCTTGAAATCGAAAGACACTATGCTCATACAGTGGCGAATATTTGCTTGAGCTCTTCCAGTTGTTGCGCGACGAATTAACCAGTGCATATCGCCATATGCTGATAAATTCTTGACAGTTAAATCACAGGGAGGAACCGAGCAGATCTCTCTCCATGATCTTGTGCCCAACACATAAACATGAGCAACATAATAGTTGTACTCCGAATCTGCACAAACCCGAACAACTTTGTGTGTACTAGTCGTGTTGTCAAATCCCATACCAAACCAATAATAAGAGAATACTGTAGTTTTTAGATGTTCCGGAACTTGGACGATACAAGTCGGGAGCATCACAGCTTCGCCCTTCAACGGATTTAACAACACGCACCGGCTTCCATTGTGTCTGTCTTTCAAGCAAATCAAGTTGCAGAAAACAAAATGTACATTGAAAAAATATTCGTACCACCAAGACATGATCTTTGAGACAATCCTCGTCTTATCTCTTCTCATTTCTAAAGTATTGCCATCGTATTCAAATGATTGCATGGCAATTAGCTCCGCCATGTACTTTTTTTTGGACTGAGAAACAATCACAAGTTGAGGTACTTCAGCAGCAGCGTTGGTAGTAACAAGAGAACTCATGTGTTGGTTAATAAACGAGGGGCGGCTGACTATGTTGTGCAAGGCTTTCGAGACACATCCCACGGAACAAACTGATTCCGCCGGCAGTCTAGAGAAAATGTCGACCAGGTTATCGTTGTCCAGGT